AGCAAATAATCCAATTAACAAATGGGCAGAGGAGCTGAATAGACACTTCTCTAAAGAAGAAATCCAGATGGCCAACAGGCACATGAAAAGATGCTCCACATGGCTAATCATCAGAGAAATGCAAATTAAAACCACAATGAGATATCACCTCACACCAGTAAGGATCACCAACATCGAAAAGTCAGACAACAACAAATGTTGGCGAGGTTGTGGAGAAAGGGGAACCCTCCTACACTGCTGGTGGGAATGTAAGTTAGTTCAACCATTGTGGAAAGCAGTATGGAGGTTCTTCAGAATGCTCAAAATAGAAATACCATTTGACCCAGGAATTCCACATCTAGGAATTTACCCTAAGAATGCAGCACTCCAGTTTGAAAAAGACAGATGCACCCCTATGTTTATCGCTGCACTATTTACAATAGCCAAGATATGGAAGCAACCTCAGTGTCCATCAGTAGATGAATGCATAAAGAAGAAGTGGTACATATACACATGGAATATTACTCAGGCATAAGAAAAAAACAGATCCTACCATTCGCAACAACATGGATGGAGCTAGAGGGTATTATGCTCAGTGAAATAAGCCAGGCAGAGAAAGACAAGTACCAAATGATTTCACTCGTATGTGGAGTATAAGAACAAAGGAAAACTGAAGGAACAAAACAGCAGCAGAATCACAGAACTCAAGAATGGACTCATAGTTACCAAAGGGAAAGGGACTGCAGAGGATGGGAGGGAAGGGAGGGATAAGGGTGGGGAAAAAGAAAGAGGGCATTACGATTAGCATGTATAGTACGTGGGGGGTACGGGGAGGGCTGTGCAACACAGAGAAGACAAGTAGTGATTTTACAGCATCTTACTATGCAGATGGACAGTGACTGTGAAGGGGTATGTGGAGGGGCCATGGTGAAGGGGGGAGTCTAGTAAACATAATGTTCTTCATGTAATTGTAGATTAATGATACCAAAAAAAGAGCAGTTATCAATATTGCCAAACCACCCATGGAAGGAGTGCATACATTTATATTCAAGGTGATACATAGCACAGCCCAGTGCAGTGACCAGTATTGAGGGATTCTCAGGACTGCAGCTACAGTGCCATACAGGCACATCTTGTTTCACCTCACTTAGGCTTCATGAGTCTCCTAGGTACACAGTGATGTCACCAACCCACCTTGATTACTTATCCTCCCTTAGGTCTGGGAAAGCCCATCCTTTGACCCAACGATGTCTGCACAGCCATCAGACTATCCAGGCTTTTCCAAGTCAGGTGGTTTAACTCTTGGAGTTGGGCGTTTCTTGCTGTCTTTCTCACAGTCTCTCTTGTGCAAGTTTCACCCCCTCCAGGAAGTCTGCGTTGATCCTCTCCCCAACCCCCTTTGTCCACCCCAATCCTCATCCCACTGGGTTAGGTGACCTCTTGAAGCTCCCCCACCACCACCTCTGTTTAGTCCAGGCTGATCACACTGGGCTGTAGTAGGTGTGCCTGGCAATCTCCTGAAATGTCACAAAGGTATAGTCATAAATAGAAAGAAAATAAACTTCCTCTGGTTGCACACACACCTGGAGGCTAGGGAATGGGAAAACACATCTCAGCTTTTCCCACTGACTCACCTTTTGTCTTCCCAGACTGTCACTGTGTCTTCCCAGTCCTCTGTGGGTCTTTTAGTTCCCTCAGAGCAGAGCATCTGAAAGCTGAAAAAGCAATACCAATCTTAGCATAGCTTCATGTATTAACTAGTCGTTTATTGAGCACTGTGTGCCAGGCATTGGGGATACAACTATGATAAAATAGATGATACTCCTGCCCTTGAGAATATTAATAATCATTAATTATTATTTAACATTTATTGAGCACTTACTCTTTTCTAAGCACTGTACTAAGCCTTTGTAAGAAGTGGTTTCTTAATCCTTGCAAGAATCCCACTAGATAGGTTCTATAATTAATCTCATTTTACATATGAGGAAATTGAGGCGCAGAAAGGCTAACTAACTTGTCTAAGGGCACACAGCTAACAAGTGGTAGAAACAAGCTTTGGACCCAGGCAGTCCCGGTGCAGAGCCTACTCCTTTAACCACTGACTGAACCAAACCAACGACTACATTCTAATGCAGACAAATCATGGAGAAGCAAACAAATAAAAAAGATATTTTCAATTAGTGATAACTGAATGCTATGGAGAAAGTAAAATAAAATCAGGGTAATGGGGTGAAAGATAACTGGGTGTCCTCAGCACCTGGCCTGGTCCCAAGTAGGCACTGTTTAGAAATAAAGGAGGAGGGGACAGCAGGGAGGGAAGGAGGAGTCCTTGACAGGTACCTCCACATACAAGGCTGCCAAACCTTTGCAGTGTTTGACCAGCTGTGCAGACTTAGAATGAGCCCTGGAACTGGGGGCAGGCAAACATAGGAGGAATCCTTCACCACTCACCAGCCTTACGACCTTGAGAAAGTCACTCTCCAAGCCTCAGTTTTCCTTTGAAGAATGGGGGAAATAACAGTACACTGTGTGCAGCTCTGGACAAAGCCCCTTTTACATTGGGTACTGTCACTGTATTCCCTTTACAGATGAGTAGACTGAGCTCAGAAGTGAGCCCGTGATCCCCAAGCTAGTACAGGGCAGAGAAGGGGGGGCTTGGTGGCAGAGGTGAATGAGTGAAACACTGCCCCCTACAGGCAGCTCGTGAATTTGTGGGGGCGTTCCTGGTAGCCACAGTGACGAGAAGGTGGAGCAGGACAGTCGCACACAGAATTGTCCCACATCCTGCATGACATTTGACTGTCCTGCTAGACACTCATGAAACTAAAAAATTTACTTACAATGACCTGAGCCTAGAACCTACCCCATCCCTGCCTTGATCCTCTCCCCAACCACCTTTGTTCACCCAACCCTCATCCCACTGGGGTTGCATCCTACTGCACACACTTAAGGTAATCACTCTTACCCACCACTTTGCAAGAGCCCCATATTTCCCCATTCTCTCCACTTCTTTTTGCCTTGGTGTGCTATCTTTGTTTAAGTTACAGTTACTTTCCTCTTTCACTTATCACCTGGCCTGTTATTATTGTCCCAACTCTGTATTAAAGTGTCCTCCTCTCTTCACTTTCATTTCCTGAGTATTAACTCACAGATCACCCAAATCTGGAAAACAAAAGCTAAATTTAATGCTGACTCAGGCCAGGGAGAAACACAAGCAGAAGTGTTGCTTCTTGTTAGGGGACATAAGTTTTATAAGGTTTGTGGGAAGGAGTTTAAGGAACGCTGAGAGGTACAGTGTTTCAGCGGGCGCACCACAGAGTGGGAGTGTGAGCCAAGTGTGAACACCAGCCTGGGCTGAAGGTTCTTGTTGCACTGGAGACCAAAGAGTTAAAAAGAAAACAAAAAAAATGTTGTGTCTGCTTCCTTCCTTGCCTGGGACAGTGGGAGCTGGTAGGTGGTGCACAAGCCTCAGCTAAAGCATGAGTGGGCATCCTTGGGTGGGACCTTTCTGGGCAAAGAAACATGCGGGCAGATACTGCAGGAGAATAGAAAATTCCACTTTCATAGGTATCTTATCTGAACCCCTCATAATGTCTTCTATCTATCTCAGTATACCAGTGTTTTGAAATACATATTATTTTATTATAAATTAATTTCCTTGTATGTCTCTGATATGTAACAGAGGCCATTGTGTTGAGTTGTGTGAAACCTACATGAATAAGTCATATAGTGCAGCATATGCTGTATCAGACACTGTAGCAAGTGCCTTTCCCATCTCACCTGATCATTTCACTAAGTCTATGATAGATACAGTTTTCACAGGAGAGCAAACTGAGGTACAGAGAGGTAAAGTGACTTGTCCAGAGTCACAGAGAAAGTATTGGATCAGGGATTCAAACCCAGGGCACCTGGCTCCAGAATCTACACTCTTAACCACTCTGCTAGGTAAGGGAAATTATCTAGGGACTCCAGTTCTGGAGATTTAGGGGGCTTTCCAGATGTTTCTATGAAAACCACGTTGGGTGTGGTGGGGTGAGAACCACAGACCCAGCACACAGTGTGTTAATATTCTCCTGCATCCTTCTTCACTCCATACTCTGCCATCAAGGTCCTGAATCTGAACCAGAGGTCAGCCGTGTGGCCATGACCCCAAGCCCAGTAGGGGTGCGTGGCAGAGGGTAGGAGATGGACAGGAGTGGTCAAGTGAGGCCCTCAAGATCCCATGGACTGCTTATGTCCAGCCCCTGCATCTTTCCTCCTCCTTCCTGAGGGGCGGGGATCTCCTCTGTGGAAAAATACCCAGCTGGGTGAGCGCCTGTGAGAGGGAGGAGGCCAGGGAGGCTGGGGCTCCCAGCACAGACTCTTTCCCTTCTCATGACTGGTGTTTATTGGGCCAGATTCTGGGAAAGGGCCAGATTGCATCAGACAGGGCCTGAGAGGCTGAGCCAGATTGCGGGCTGAGGAGGAGATGTGGCCTTATAAGTTGGGGCCAGTGAACTGGGAGATGTTGGGAAAACAGACACAAACAAGTTTTAGACTGCGAGAGAGAGACGGCAAGAGTAAGCTGGACATAATGGCCCCCTTCCCAAGAGCAGCCAGCCTGACCCAGCAGCCCCCAGGCCCAAAGGATGAAGACCCCAGCCTGGATGATTATGACCTCTACAGCCTGGCTCATTCCTTCCTGGGTAAGATCTGGCTCTGCCACCTTCCTGATCCCTCCACTGCTGACCCCCACCCCAACAAAGGCCTGGAGCCCCTGCCCCAGAACTAGGACCCATCCTTGGACTTCTCCCTACCCTTCTCCCTTCATCCTTTCTAACCTGTTCCCTTGACCCCTTGAGTCACCCCCTTCTAACCCTGCATCCACTGAGCATTGGCCTACGCAGCCCTGGGACTTCACATACCTAGAATATTGGAGCAACAACAGGTCATAGGGGGTCCTTCATTCCACAGACAGGGAAACAGAGATTATTACTGCCCCAAAACTATGTGGTGACAACCCCTCAGTCATCCCCACACTTGCCTTTGAGGCATCACACCTCCACCCACTTCACCTGGGCCTCTCACCCTGGGTCCCAGGAGTGGGAGGCCGGAAGGGTCGCACCAAGAAAGAAGCTGTGGCTAACACCAACCGCCACAACCCCGGGGGGCATGAGAGGAAGTTGCTGACCAAGCTCCGGAATACAGAGCGGAAAAGACAAGGGGCACGGCCCTGAGACAGAGCTGGAGGTAAGGAGTCAGGGGTCTGAGGGCCAGTGGAGGTCCCTCTATCTCAGAAGGACAGGACTGAATGTGTGTGGTGGGTGGGGAGGAGGGATCAAACAATGATTGTCTCAACATTGAATAAACTGATGCACACATTTCATTCTGAGTTTCCTAGTGACCAGAGCAAAGGGGGAAACAGAGCGTCTTTCCAACTGGAGGGAAACTTGGTTTACAGAAAGAGAAACTGAGGCCCAGAGAGGGTAGGGCCCTTCTCTAGAGTCCAGAGCAAGACAGGAGAGGCAGAACTAAAACCGACCCTTTCACCACCTGCTTTTCTGCCCCCAGACAAGGCCAGAGCACAGACACAGCAATGGAGACAGGACTGCAGAGGAATCAGCCCCTGGGGGCAGGATACAGGCCTACCTGTACCCCACCCCACCCCTGGGACTTACCCCACCTGACTGAGGCTCCAAGGGGTCACCAAGGAAGCACCCCCAGCCCCAGAATAAAAGACAAGATAAGGAGCAAGAAACAGGGAATGGAGGCAGAATCATAAAGGTACCCCCAAAACTGAAAGACACTGAAGAAACTGGAGCTCCCCAAGGGGAGTAGTGATAATAAACAAAGTTCAGCAGCTGCAACTTGTGTGTGTTTTTGTCCTCTGTCTTTGTGTGGTTTTGTTTGTACATGTTTCTGCCTGCATGGGTCTATGTTTGCATGAACCAATGAGAGCATTTTTGTCAGCACTTGTATTTGGTTATGTGTCTGGGAGGTGGTGTTCCTGATTTTGTAGGGGCAGTAGAGGTGAGCGAGTTTTGTTTTGTTTTCTGGCATGCATGTTTTGGTGTGGACATTTCTGTGGTCTCTTATGGGATGCAAGGGAATTTTCTCTGAGTCTTTGTAATGCTGCCCATGAAACAAGCCCCCTCCCCAGCACCTCACCATTTTCAGAACAACCATCTAATTGGTTATGTCATATTCATATTCATACAAAACCACCTTTTGAAGTGAATATTATTTATTGGTGCCCTTTGCAAAATGGAGCAAACTGAGATTTAAAGCATTAAGGGACTTGCCCCAAAGTAGGGCTCAAATTCAAAGATTCTTATTGTCCACCAGTTTTAGGTGGGTCCCTTTGCCAAGGGGGTTGCCAGCACAGGGTTCTGGGAGGTCAGCTGGGGGAGGAAGATTTTTACCTAGGATTATCAGACTCAGAACCAGAGTTTGAGAGTAACACAGGGAAATAAGAAGTGTGCTTAGAACTAAGAGGATATGTTGATTGAGATGCAGGTTTAGGCTTTAAACAAAATGGTATAGAAAGTTATCTTTCTGTCACATAACAGTTCTAAGGATAAGTATTCTTGAGCTAAAATGACAACTCCATTTTGCTAGGGATTCCACCTACTTTTTTAGCTTGTTGTTATGCCACCATCAAAACATGGCTTACACTTTGAGGTCCAAACTAGCTGCTGCAGTGCCTGCCATCACATCTTCATCTCAGCCTGTGAAAAGGGAGCAGGGAAGTGATGAGGGTAAGCCACACCAACTCATTTTTTTTTTAGTAGCAAGAAGGCTTTATTTAAGGCAAAGTAAACACTCAAAGAAAGGGGAGTGCAGGCAACCTAAGAGAGGAGGCATGCTTAAAGGCTTAGGATTCTGTCTTTTAAGGCTTTCAAGAATGGGAGTGTAGTCTTAACATGTAGTCTCTTGATGTCTCTCTCCAGTGAGAGACATTATGTCACCATCCATGGTCCTCTAGATGCTCTGTAAGACAAACTTAACACAAGGAATTTATAGATCCTGTTTTTCTCCAAGATAGTGGTTACCCTCAAGCAGTGGAAACTACCATTTAGGACTGTTTGCCTCGCCTTCAGATAGGGTCAGTTATTGGCTGATTACCAAAAAATATGTTAGGAATCTTACCTCCTAACTCCCTGGTTTTTAAAATGGAATCTTAGCCTTAAGAAGTCCCTTATGTTCTTACTATACTATTTATATCTTGGCATTTTTCATGATAGGCAGGAAAAGTTAATCATGATGCTTGTCTTATGTCCCTGTCCTACCTCAAGTGTAGTGGTTTAAATGCTGCTAACTCAACCTACCTTTGCACAGATGGGGTCTCTTGGGGCCTGCTAGAGTTCACACTGGACACCCAGACCCTGCACAGGACGGAAAAAGGGAAAATTCATAACTTGAGCCTCTGTGGGCATGTTGGCCTCAAAGTCAGTCCCTCAGTGGGTCAAACCACAAACCTGGTGGTTGTGTCAGAAGGATGGCCATCCAGTCTCCCCAGGAACCTTGGAGGTCTCAAACTCTTGGAGAACAGAAGTGGGTAAGTACAAGGTACACAAGTTATGGGTGGACTGTCAGGGACAGACCACAGGTTGTGTGGGGTGAATGAATGAGTGACAATCAGGGTGTGGCTATGGAGTGGAGGGTCACCTGGGGCAGGGGAAGAGGAAATAGCTTTCAGCCACTCTCACTCTGCACTGAGAGAGCTCTTCTGACATTCTAAGTCATGTAGGAAGCTCTTCACACAAGCTGTTTGGAGGACTCCAGGTTCAGAGTGGTTGAGTGACTTCCCTGTGATCACACAGCTGGTGAATGACAAATCTAGATTTGAACTCGGCTCTATGCAGGGCGCAGGCTCTTAACCACTGAGCTACATGATTACTACCTGTCCCCAAGCTAACCAGAATATGGTGGGGAAGATCTCCCTTGGGCCACTATGGACTGCCCCATCCAAACCTCAGATGAAGCAATACACACCAACTCATTTTTAATGCCATAACCTAAAAGTAGAACACATCACATCTGCTCAGAATTTAGTCACATGGCCACACCTAACTACAAGAGAGATGGGGAAATGTAGTATTTAGCTGCAAGCCAAAACTTGGGGAGGGCAGGGAAGATCAGGTTCCTATAAAGACTCCTTTATTATTAAAGGAAGCGGGGGAGAGTGAATGCTGGAGAAAACTAGAAAGAAATATTTTCCACAAACTCAACGGAATTCAGGGGAGAAAACCCCTAGATTTGGCCCTGGACAAAGCTTTTTTCCTTTTCTCCTGTCCCTCCCATATAAGCCTTAGGCTGTAAAACTTGGACCCAGTTGTTCTTACAGAGCCAAGAATATGGACAGAGGAATGAAATACCTGTTGAAACAGTAAGAGTTGCATAGCCGACTAAGACCAGCTTGAACCTTTGGGAACCTCTACCCACTGGTCTTCCCTGAGTCCAGCCTGAAAACAGTCACAGAATCTCTGATAGAGAAGGACATTAAAAAGCATCTAGTCCAGCCCCATCTCACCCCCCACCGGGATCACATCTGCTTGCTTGATTACCACTAGGAATAAGGAACTTGCTGCCTCTATCTGTGTTGCCTGATTCCTTTCCAGAGCAACTCTTCAGGGGCTGAAACCTGACTCTCCCACCTACTCTTGAATAATCTTCTGCTTTTCTGATCCTTTCTATCTGAGATGCCTTTAATCTTACCTGGCCTGCGAGACCAAGCTCTTCAGAGTCTTCCCCAGCTTGCCTTCCATATCCATCTGCACACCTCCACCCAGGGGGATGCCTTCTCTGGGGTCGCAGCACATGGCAAGTCTGCACCCAGAATCTATCAGTCCTTGTGGGTATTTCAGGCCTCCCGTGGAGCCCCTCTTCAATGACAGATCATTTACTCATTCAGTTTATGTTTATCAGATGCCTACTGTGTTACCAGGGCCTGGTTGAAGACATGGACTGCATGTAAGGAGGAACAAGTGCAACCCTGGTATGACTGGAACCAGGCCTCGGGGCCAGTGTCAGCTCTTGAACTCAGGGGGCAAATGGCAGGTCTGGGCACTGAGCTCTCAGGCCAGCACAGACCTGGTGTGTCGGATTCAGAAAAATCAAGGCAACAGTTCCCATCTATTGAGCTACTACTCTGTGGCACGTTTTAAAGGCGTTCCCCCATTTAATCCTTACAGTAACCCAATAGGCATTTTACAGATCAGAAAACTGGTTCAGACAAGTTAAGTAACTTGCTCAAAGTCACATAAGTACAACCCACAAGAGCTGAGATTCTGAATTCAGGTCTGTCTGCTTTTTGAAGCCTGGGATGTTTTTACTACATGCCTAAGAATAACTATGTACTGACAACCCAGAATCCATGATGCTAGTTAATTTCTGGTCAATTACTCCTTCCAAGCTTGTTTCCTCACCTGCCACATGTTTAGATTACCCTCTGCACTAACTACTTGAAAGGAGCACACAAGGGCCTGGAATTCACCCAACCCTCATCCCACTGGGGTTGCATCCTACTGCACACACTTAAGGTAATCACTCTTACCCACCACTTTGCAAGAGCCCCATATTTCCCCATTCTCTCCACTTCTTTTTGCCTTGGTGTGCTATCTTTGTTTAAGTTACAGTTACTTTCCTCTTTCACTTATCACCTGGCCTGTTATTATTGTCCCAACTCTGTATTAAAGTGTCCTCCTCTCTTCACTTTCATTTCCTGAGTATTAACTCACAGATCACCCAAATCTGGAAAACAAAAGCTAAATTTAATGCTGACTCAGGCCAGGGAGAAACACAAGCAGAAGTGTTGCTTCTTGTTAGGGGACATAAGTTTTATAAGGTTTGTGGGAAGGAGTTTAAGGAACGCTGAGAGGTACAGTGTTTCAGCGGGCGCACCACAGAGTGGGAGTGTGAGCCAAGTGTGAACACCAGCCTGGGCTGAAGGTTCTTGTTGCACTGGAGACCAAAGAGTTAAAAAGAAAACAAAAAAAATGTTGTGTCTGCTTCCTTCCTTGCCTGGGACAGTGGGAGCTGGTAGGTGGTGCACAAGCCTCAGCTAAAGCATGAGTGGGCATCCTTGGGTGGGACCTTTCTGGGCAAAGAAACATGCGGGCAGATACTGCAGGAGAATAGAAAATTCCACTTTCATAGGTATCTTATCTGAACCCCTCATAATGTCTTCTATCTATCTCAGTATACCAGTGTTTTGAAATACATATTATTTTATTATAAATTAATTTCCTTGTATGTCTCTGATATGTAACAGAGGCCATTGTGTTGAGTTGTGTGAAACCTACATGAATAAGTCATATAGTGCAGCATATGCTGTATCAGACACTGTAGCAAGTGCCTTTCCCATCTCACCTGATCATTTCACTAAGTCTATGATAGATACAGTTTTCACAGGAGAGCAAACTGAGGTACAGAGAGGTAAAGTGACTTGTCCAGAGTCACAGAGAAAGTATTGGATCAGGGATTCAAACCCAGGGCACCTGGCTCCAGAATCTACACTCTTAACCACTCTGCTAGGTAAGGGAAATTATCTAGGGACTCCAGTTCTGGAGATTTAGGGGGCTTTCCAGATGTTTCTATGAAAACCACGTTGGGTGTGGTGGGGTGAGAACCACAGACCCAGCACACAGTGTGTTAATATTCTCCTGCATCCTTCTTCACTCCATACTCTGCCATCAAGGTCCTGAATCTGAACCAGAGGTCAGCCGTGTGGCCATGACCCCAAGCCCAGTAGGGGTGCGTGGCAGAGGGTAGGAGATGGACAGGAGTGGTCAAGTGAGGCCCTCAAGATCCCATGGACTGCTTATGTCCAGCCCCTGCATCTTTCCTCCTCCTTCCTGAGGGGCGG